AATTACCTTGGGAAGTATGGGCATTTTCACAGTATTGATTCTTCCTATCCGTGAGCATGGAATGTTCTTCCATTTGTTTGTGTCCGCTTTTATTTCATTGAGCAGTCGTTTTTAGTTCTCCTTGAAGAGGTCCTTCACATCCCTTGTAAGTTGGATTTCCAGGTATTTTATTCTCTTTGAAGCAATTGTAAATGCCAGTTCATTCATGATTTCACCCTCTGTTTGTCTGTTACTGGTGTATAAGAATCCTTGTGATTTTTGCACATTGATTTTGTATCCTGAGACTCTGCTGAAGATGCTTATCAGCTTCAGTAGATTGTGGGCTGAGACGATGGGGTGTTCTAAATATACAATCATGTCATCTGGAAACAGGGACAATTTGACTTCCTCTTCTCCTAATTGAAAACCCTTTTTTTCTTTCTCTTGCCTGATTGCCCTGACCAGAACTTCCAACAGTATGTTGAATAGGATTGGCGAGAGAGCGCATCCCTGTCTTGTTCCAGTTTTCAAGGGGAATGCTTCCAGTTTCTGCCCATTCAGTATGATATTGGCTGTGGGTTTGTCATAAATAGCTCTTATTATTTTGCGATACATGCCATCAATACCGAATTTATTGAGAGTTTTTAGCAAGAAGGGCTGTTGAATTTTGTCAAAGGCCTTTTCTGCATCTATTGAGATAATCATGTGGTTTTTGTCTTTGGGTCTGTTTATATGCTGGATTATATTTATTGATTTTCATCTGCTGAGCCAGCCTTGCATCCCAGGGATGAAGCCCACTTGACCATGGTGGATAAGCTTTATGATGTGCTGTTCGATTCGGTTTGCCAGTATTTTATTGAAGATTTTTTCATCAGTGTTCGTAAGGGATATTGGTCTAAAATTCTCTTTTTTTCATTGTGTCTCTGCCAGGCTTTGGTATCAGGATGATGTTGGCCTCATAAAATGAGTTACGGGGGATTCCCTCTTTTTCTATTGATTGGAATAGTTTCAGACGGAATTTTACCAGCTCCTCCTCGTACCTCTGGTAGAATTCGGCTGTGAATCCGTCTGGTCCTGGACTTGTTTTGGTTGGTAGGCTATTAATTATTGCTTCAATTTCAGAGCCTGTTATTGGTCTATTGAGGGATTCAACTTCTTCCTGGTTTAGTCTTGGGAGAGTGTATGTGTCCAGGAATTTATCCATTTATTCCAGGTTTTCTAGTTTATTTTCGTAAAGGTGTTTGTAGTATTCTGTGATGGTGGTTTGTATTTCTGTGGAGTCAATGGTGATATCCCATTTATCATTTTTTATTGTGTCTATTTGATTCTTCTCTCTTTTCTTCCTTATTAGTCTTGTTAGCGGTCTATCAATTTTGTTGATCTTTTCAAGAAACCAGGTCCTGGATTCTTTGATTTTTTGAAGGTTTTTTTTTGTGTCTGTATCTCCTTCAGTTCTGCTCTGATCTTAGTTATTTCTGGCCTTCTGCTAGCTTTTGAATGTGTTTGCTCTTGTTTCTCTAGTTCTTGTAATTGTGATGTGACATTAGGGTGTCAGTTTTGGAGCTTTTCTACTTTCTCTTGTGGGCATTTAGTGCTCTAAATTTTCCTCTACAAACTGCTTTCCATGTGTCTCAGAGATTCTGGTATGTTGTGTCTTTGTTCTCATTGGTTTCAAAGAACATCTTTATTTCTGTCTTCATTTCGTTATGTACCCAGTAGTCATTCAGGAGCAGGTCATTCAGTTTCCATGTAGTTTTGTGGTTTTGAGTGAGTGTCTTCATCCTGAGTTCTAGTTTGATTGCACTGTGGTCTGTGAGACAGTTTGTTATAATTTCTGTTCTTGTACATTTGCTGAGGAGTGCTTTACTTCCAACTCTGTGGTCAATTTTGGAATAAGTGTGATGTGGTGCTGAGAAGAATGTATACGTTGTTGATTTGGAGTAGAGAGTTCTGTCGATATCTACTAGGTCCGCTTGGTGCAGAGTTTGAGTTCAATTCCTGGATATCCTTGTTAACTTTCTGTCTAGTTGATCTGTCTAGTGCTGAAAGTGGGGCGTTAAAATCTCCCATTATTATTGTGTGGGAGTGTAAGTCTCTTTGTTCATCTCTAAGGACTTGCTTTATGCATCTGCGTGCTCCTGTATTGGGTGCATATATATTTAGGATAGTTAGCTCTTCCTGTTGAATTGATCCCTTTACCATTATGTAATGGCTTTCTTTGTCTCTTTTGATCTTTGATGGTTTAAAGTCTGTTTTATCAGAGACTAGGATTGCAACTCTTGCTTTTTTTTGTTCTCCATTTGCTTGGTAGATCTTCCTCCATCCCTTTATTTTGAGCCTATGTGTGTCTCTGTATGTGAGCTGGGTCTCCTGAATACAGCATGCTGATGGGTGTTGACTCTTTATCCAATTTGTCAGTCTTTGTCTTGTAATTGGAGCATTTAGTCCATTTACATTTAAGGTTAATATTGTTATGTGGGAACTTGATCCTTTCATTACGATGTTAGCTGGTTGTTTTCCTCATTAATTGATGCAGTTTCTTCCTAGCGTTGATGGTCTTTACAATTTGCCATGTTTTTGCAGTGACTGGTACCAGTTGTTCCTTTCTATGTTTAGTGCTTCCTTCAGGATCTCTTGTAAGGCAGGCCTGTTGGTGACAAAATCTCTCAGCATTTGCTTGTCTGTAAAGGATTTTATGTCTCCTTCACTTATGAAGCTTAGTTTACCTGGATATGAAATTCTGGGATGAAAATTCTTTCCTTTAAGAATGTTGAATATTGGCCCCCACTCTCTTCTGGCTTGTAGAGTTTCTGCCGAGAGATCTGCTCTTAGTCTGATGGCTTCCCTTTGTGGGTAACCTGACCTTTCTCTCTGGCTACCCTTAAGATTTTTTCCTTCATTTCAACTTTGGTGTATCTGGCAATTATGTGTCTTGGAGTTGCTCTTCTCGAGGAGTATCTTTGTGGCATTCTCTGTATTTCCTGAATTTGAATGTTGGCCTGCCGTGCTACATTGGGGAAGTTCTCCTGGATAATATGCTGCAGAGTGTTTCCAAGTTGTTCCATTCTCCTAGTCACTTTCAGGTACACTAATCAGATGTAGATTTGGACTTGTCACATAGTCCCAAATTTCCAGGAGGCTTTTTTCATTTCCTTTTACTCTTTTTTCTCTGAACTTCTCTTCTCGCTTCATTTCATTCATTTGATCTTCAATCACTGATATCTTTTCTTCCAGTTGATCGAGTTGGTTACTGAAGCTTGTGAATTTGTCACGTAGTTCTCCTCTCATGGTTTTCATTTCTATCAGGTCATTTAAGGACTTTTCTGTATTTGTTATTCTAGTTAGCCATTTGTCAAATCTCTTTTCAAGGTTTTTAATTTCTTTGCGCTGGGTTCGTACTTCCTCCTTTAGCTCTGAGAAATTTGATTGTCTGAAGCCTTCTTCTCTCAACTTGTGAAAGTTATTCTTTGTCCAGCTTTGTTCCATTGCTCTCAAGGAGTTGCGTTCCTTTGGAGGGGGAGGGCACTCTGGTTTTTAGAATTTTCAGCTTTTCTGCACTGCTTTTTCCCAATCTTTGTGGTTTTATCTACCTTTGATCTTTGATGGTGACATACAGATGGGGTTTTGGTGTGGATGTCCTTTCTGTTTGTTAGTTTTCCTTCTAACGGTCAGGACCCTCAGCTGCAGGTCTGTTAGAGTTTGCTTGAGGTCCACTCCAGACCCTGTTTGCCTGGGTATCAGCAACAGAAGCTGCAGAAGAGTGAATATTGCTGAACAGCCAATGTTGCTGTCTGATCGTTCCTCTGGAAGCTTCATCTCAGAGGTGTACCCGGCCCTGTGAGGTGTGGGTTATCAGTCTGCCCCTAGTGGGGATGTCTCCCAGTTAGGCTACTCAGGGTCCAGGGACCCACTTGAGCAGGCAGTCTGTCTGTTCTCAGATCCAAAAGTCTGTGCTGGGAGAACTACTCTCTTCAAAGCTGTCAGACAGGGACATTTGCATCGACAGAGGTTTCTGCTGCCTTTTGTTTGGCTATGCCCTGTCCCCAGAGGTGCAGTCTATGGAGGCAGGCAGGCCTCCTTGAGCTGCGGTGGGCTCTACCCAGTTCAAGTTTCCTGGTCACTTTGTTTACCTACTTAAACCTCAGCAATGGCAGGTGCCCCTCCCCCAGCCTCGCTGCTGCCTTGCAGTTAGAACTCAGACTGCTGTGCTAGCAATGAGGGATGCTCTGTGGGTCAGCGATCCTCTGAGCATGGCCCAGGGTATGATCTCCTGTTGTTCCATTTGCTAAGACCCTTGGTAAAGCGTCGTACTAGGCTGGGAGTCAACTGATTTTCCAGGTGTTTTTCATGGTTTCCCTTGGCTAGGAAAGAGAATTCCCTTCCCCCTTACACTTCCTGGGTGAGGAGATGCCGCACCCTGCTTCCGCTCTCACTTGTTGGGCTGCACCCACTGTCCTGCGTCCACTGTCCAAGCTTATAGAGCTTCAGCAACAGAGCTGTTCTTGTTCTTAATGATTTCAGTGGAGAAAATTGCATTGGAAAAAGTAAAAGAATTCAGGGTCCAGTCCAGTCTACCAGTGGATTAGAAATACTCAAAGATAATGAACAGTGGTTCAATTTGGTAACAGGTGTACTACAGTTTTTCTTTTTAACATAATTTTTATCTACATAGGAGTCTCTATTTTTACAAAAGATAATTCCAGTAGGATGAATTAGTTTGCAAAATAGGTTGAGTCTCACCGAACTTGCCTAGATTTTTTACCTAAGTGCAGCAAGTGTAGCAATGGACCATAGACACCCCTTTTAAACTTTGCATTGCTAGAAGTTTTATAAAACTCTCAGATTAAACTTTCAAAAACCTTTTGAGACTAGGAAGCCAAATCAAGGCCATCTTCAGACTTTCCCTGCATTCCCTATGGGTTTATTCTATGTATATTGTCAAATAGAACATCCCAGTCAAAGCCTTGGTAACATAACCAATGTTTTTGAATGTGTCCTGTTATAAAGAGAGAAGATTCTTATTGAACTTGTGCAGATAACTTTATTACTATAAGCATATGAATCCTCATGAATAGTTTCCCAATTCTGGGGCACTCATATTGGGAGCAAAAGCAAATGTTTCAATTTTTGTTCACAAAAGTATACTTTAGTAAATTGCTGTGAAGTATAAAGAGCTTAAAAGAGAAAGTTCATAAATCTGGAGAAGAAAAGATTCAAAGAATCAGCACATTTTCAAGTAAAAAATTATGAAAACGTTATTGTTTTGATTATTTAGTACAATAAAACTGAGGTTTTTTTCTTCTTTGTCTTGAATTTCTTGAAGGTATCAGCCTGTTCATTAAAATTTTGAAAGTTCTCAGAGAGTCCAGTGGTATGATCTTGAAGTTATCAGAAACTTGTATTCAAGAGTTGTTGTCAGAGTCTTTTCCATACATCTCGTTGAAGAAAAAGCAATTTTGGACTGTAGCTGAATATGAATACTTTGAGGAAGAATCAAAGCAACTGTCTGGGAATGACAAAGATTTAAAATGACTCTGGTGAAAAATCTAATGAGATTTATATTCGGTTTATTATGGTAAAGACACAGCTCACATAGAAATCTAGTTACTTCTGTGGCATACGACACTATGACTGATAACATATTCAATTTCCAGAAATTTCATATAGTGTTTAGAATATTCATTTTTTTGAACTTTTTTATTTTTATTTTTTGAGATGGAGTCTTGCTCTGTCGCCCACGCTGGAGTGCTGTGGCATGATCTATGCTCACTGCAAGCTCCGCCTCCCAGGTTGATGCCATTCTCCTGCCTCAGCCTCCGGAGTAGCTGGACTACAGGCGCCTGCCACCACACCTGGCTAATTTTGTTTTTGCATTTTTAGTAGATTCGAGGTTTCGCCGTGTTAGACAGGATGGTCTCGATCTCCTGACCTCATGATCTGCCCACCTCTGTCTCCCAAAGTGCCGGGATTACAGGCGTGAGCCACTGCGCCCAGCCTAGAATACTCATATTATTAAAATTCCCATAAATATTATTTAGAGAAGGTTTAGCATCACTTATCACTCATTTGAAAACACTTTGTATATATATTTTGACATATAAAATAAGGTGGCTTTTCCATTCAGCTTCTGTTTCCTAACTGGATTACTGAGTTCTTGATGTAACCCCTTAATAATTAGGGCCAAAAAAGTATAGTCTTATGTATGTTGAAAAAGGTCCTTAGGTCATTCCGGTACTTCTAGCTGAAAATCATTGATTTAGTTTTAAGTTCTACCTATTACAACAAGAGTTCTCCATCCTTGTTACATGTTAGTAGTGTCAGGGAAGACTTAAAAATTACCAGTGCCTGGGTCCCTCTCCAGACCTTGAAACTGGAACTCATGAGTGGGGCTTGAGCATCCACTTTTAAAAATGTTTTCCAGTGATTCCAATGTCTAGCTATATTTTCCATCAGATTTCTCTGATTTCTTGTGGCCTTCACTTTTTTCTATTTTGTATCATTATTTTCAGGTCTCATTTCCTGTCTTAGGCTTTATATCCCTGGGTAGCGACCTTGCCATCTTCATCTCTGTATCTTTTTTGAACACATGAATTGGCCATCAGGAAAAGGTCTCAAGCACACATAGGTTTTGTTCTGAGTCTCAGGTTCACAGGCTAATCCTAAAGTCTTTGTTCTCCACGAAGTCAGAGATTGCTTGTGATGAAGGGTGTGGTTAAGTCTGTAGTGCAGATGGTGGAGGGGAGTTCACCTTGTTTTCAGGCTTAGCATTGGGACTAAGAATTTTATGTCTATATGGGTGAAGGGGCAGGGATGTGTAGGAAGACAGTTCTGATTAAGATGGAGGAATTATACTAGGAAGTAGAGGTAAAGGAAGTGAGAAGGATTAGCAAATAGAAGAAATGTGAACTTACAAAGAGGCTAGAGTAGACCCTTGGAGATTCTTGTTTAAGTGAATTAACTAGATTTTAGAAAGGTTATGAGGCAGTCATATGCAAGGAAGGTTTCAAAGTCTGGAGACAAGAAGTCAAGCAACACTTTGAGAAGTGGTTGGTCTTTATGGGAATGGAGAGAATTACACTATTGAGAGATGTGAAAAATAATGAAGAGGGTTTCACAATGTGAAATTGTGTTTCTCGTTTGAATCTGAGAAACAAATGAGCAGAGGCTGGAGATAATTATGTCTAAAAGATAGTGGGGTACAGGGAGCATAAAGGTCAGGGAGAAAGGGAACTGCAGGAATTAGTGCTGAGAACAGGAGTTTGGTGGAGGAAGGAGAGATCCAGTCCCAGATACAGGCAAATAAGTATTTTCCCTTTCCCAAGCATGGCAGTCAGCCCTGCAGGAAACAGGACAAGAGAAAAGGACATCATACCTGCCAGTCTTCCTGAAATACAGAAATGACATCATGGTTGTTGTTTCGGAATAACCCAAGATAGATATCCTCTTCCTAAAGGAGCTGTCATGGAAAGAAAGAAAACAAGGAATGGAGGTGATGTTATTTTACTGGGGGAAGCCTCAGGAACAAGCATGTAACACGAGGTACTCTATAATTGTTTCTCAAATAATATTATTTCTGTTGTAAAGTTGATGGGAGATGGTTATATTCTTGCAGATTTTTTCCCCTCTCACCATGTTTCTAAGTTGGTGATCAGTCCTCTGTCAATTCTCAACAGCACCACGATATTTCAGAAGGGTTTCAGATGGGAGAAAGGCTGATTGCTATTTCTATGTCGTTAGAACTTTCCACTTTCCCACCTTTTCATGGTTGCATCTTTTTCTCAGTGTCTCTGTGGTGGCAGCCATGAATGAGACCCTGCCGGGTCTTCATGGCAGGGACATGATTGACAGAAGGCCCAGGTCAGTGCATTTCAAATTCACCAAGTCCTTTGCACAGAAAGCTTCCTTCCCACAGGCTCCCAGCAAGGGTGTGAAAGCAAGCCTAGTTCTCTGAGGCTCTGTTTACTTTAATGGGAAACTGGTTGGAGGACTCCCCATCAGCCATGCAAAAACTCTCTTAGAACTGTATTAATACCTAAAACTTCTTTCTCTTTCTTTTTCACAGGAGTCTGCTTGCATAGGGGGTCTGTGAGTTCTCCCATACTACCTTCATGCCTGCCCCACATTCCCTCAGAGGTGTCTTCCCTGATAAATTATCTATATGTCTAATCCCATCCTGGATGCATCTCAGTTGGTAAAAACTAACATACCAGGTTTGATTCTTTGCACTTAGTTTGCTTGCTTTCTCTCTCACAAGTAGTCAGGAACCATGTCCTAGGTTTAATGTTACCTCTTTTTCTACATATATATGGAAACAGGTACTGTTGAGGGGCACATCCTATGTGCCAGGCCCTTTGCTAAATGCTTTATCTGTACTTCATTTAATTCACACAGTAACCCTGTCAAGTGGATAGTATTTCCATTTGCCGATGAAAAGACAGAAACTAGAGTAGTGTAAAATCTTCCTGGTGTCGTATGGCTAGTAATAGGTGGATCTGAGATTTGATGCTGGGACTATTTGACCTCAAGGCTAATGATGATGGTAGTAAATATAGCAGCTGACATTGGTTCGCCTGTGTGTGGCATCTTGTTTCATTGACTGCATGAAACCTTTAAAGAATGGTATGAAGCAAGCTCCCTCATACTTCAGGATTTGAAAGAAGAACAAACTAAACCCAAGCACAGTGAATGAAGGAAACAATAAGGATTAGAGTGGATAAAAATAAAATGGAGAATGGTAAAAGAATAGAGTAAATTAATGAAACCAAAAGTTGATTCTTCAAGTTAAAATCAACAAAATTGACGACCATTAAGTAGACTGACTAAGAAAAAAGAGAGATTAAAATTACTAAAATGAGAAATGAAAATGGAGTCTGAATATGACAGGTCATAGTTTAATCCTAGCACTTTGGAAGGTCACAATGGGAGGATTTCTTGAGGCCAGGTGTTTGAACCAGCATAGGTAACCTGGGGAGACCCAGTCTCTACAAAAAAGAAATAAAAATCAATTAGCTGGGCATATTGGCATGCATCTGTATTCCTAGTATCTTGGGAGGCTGAAGAAGTAGAATTGCTTGAGCCCAGAAGGTTGAGGCTATGGTAAGCCATAATACACCACTGTATTTCAGCCTGGGCTAGCCTACAGAGTGAGAGCCTGTCTCTCTCTGAAAGAAAG